CACAGCTCATAGCAACTTCCAAATCTTGGGCTCAAGCAAGTCTCCTGCCTCGGCCTCCCAAGTAGCTGGGACTACAGGTGCACGCCACAACGCCCGGATATATATATATTTTTTTGGGGGGGGCGGGTTTAGCCATCGTTGTTTGGCAGGCCCGGGCTGGATTCGAACCCGCCAGCTCAGGTATATGTGGCTGGTGCCTTAGCCGCTTGAGCCATAGGCGCCGAGCCTAACCTCCTTAATCTTAAACCTCCACATTTAGTGTCGCTGGTGTCCTTATTGTTCCCTCTGCCTGGATACTCCGTATGTCTTCATTTTATTTATTTATTTTTTGAGACAGAGCCTCAAGCTATTGCCCTAGGTAGAGTGCTGTGGCATCACAGCTCACAGCAACCTCCAGCTCCTGGGCTCAAGCTATTCTCCGGGCTCTGCCTCCCAAGTAGTTGGGACTATAGGCACCCACCACAACGCCCGACTGTTTTTTGGTTGTAGCCATCACTGTTGTTTGGAGGGCCTGGGCTGGATTCAAACGTGCCAGCTCAGGTGTATGTGGCTGGCACCTTAGCCACTTGAGCCACAGGTGCTGAGCCTAACCTCCTTAATCTTAGCCTTCACATTCAGCGTCACTGGTGTCCTTACTGTGCCTCTGCCTGGATACTCCCTATGTTTTCAGATCTAACTCGGCAACACTTGCATGGTCATGCCACCTGGATCTCCAGATGCCTAGATCCTTCAACATAGGTTCTAACAGTTCTCCATACCATTTGAATATACCAGCAGCATGTCTCAGTTTGTTTGTTTTTTTTTTTTTTTGGAGACAGAGTCTCAAGCTGTTGCCCTGGGTAGAGTGCTGTGGCATCACACCTCACAGCAAACTCCAACTCTTGGGCTTAAGCGATTCTTTTGCCTCAGCCTCCAGGTAACTGAGACTACAGGCGCCTGCCACAATGCCTAGCTATTTTTTGGTTCTAGTTCTTGTTGTCTGGCAGGCCTGGGCTGGATTCGAACCCACCAGCTCCAGTGTATGTGGCTGGCACCCTAGCCACTTAAGCTACAGATAATGAGCCCATGTCTCAGTTTGAAATCATACATTCATCAGTATCATCGATGAATGTCTGATATTGATGAATGTCTGTTTACTCCTAAAAATTGTAAGGCCTCTAAAAAGAAGCGCTTCCCCCCTACTGTAGCGGTTCAATAAGTGTTTATCAACTGAATAATCAATTCCGCACCTCTAATCTCCATCCCATCTGTCTAGTCAAAGGAAACCAAACAAATTCCGACACCTCCTTCTCCCCAGACCCCTATTTGTCTCTAGAAGTTCATACCAGTATAGGGACCCAGTAATAATTGAGAGGTGGTGCTGTATCCTGCACAATCCTGATACGATGTGTGAAAAAGAAGAAAGCCAGGATCCCTGGAAAGGAAGAGGAAATAGAGATGGTGGAGGGTTCTGGCTAAAGGAAATGCCCCTGCCCAAGAAAATGACATTCATCACAGGGCCCCCAACAGACTGGGTGGGTGGCACTCACCCACACTACCCACGATCAGAAGTTTGCCCAACAGGAAGAGGAAGTCAGTAACTTTGTCCAGGACAGCTACTCTGCAGGGGACAGTAAGGGGCAGGTGTGAATGCTAGATCAGGGAGGAGGGGAGGAGGAAGGTGGTGGGAGGATGGTGTCTTCCCTAACCTGATAATATTTCTCATGAGCAGGAAGAAGGCATTCCTGGCTGAAGTGCAGAAGTTGGTGCCATAGATGGCAATCTGGAAAGGGGCGGGAAGGAATGATCAGGCTCCCTGGGTGGGGATAGAGCCGCTTCCCATCCTGCAGGAGCTGGTAGATTGGCATAGGGTCCCAGCCCCACTCACCATGATATAGGCATTCCTGTTCAGGAATTTAATAAATTTCTCCAGGCACCAGAAGCAGCATTTCAGACAAGTCATGAGAAACTTGGCAAACTTATTCTCCGCAGCTGGAAGAGAAAGGAAGGGATGCAGAGGAGATGCCTTAGTTTGGCAGGCCCTGTAGTCCAGGCCCTCAAAGAGGCAAGGAACAGAGACTTAATTCAGGACCCTTGAGATTCTGTCCTACCTCCAAGTAGGAACCAACATAACCCAGGAATCTCAGCCAGCCTCCCAGAGGGGAGCAAATAGGACTGCTATGTAGAAGTCATCCAGGTAGAAGCCAATCCTTGTCAGTTTCTTGATCCCACCCCCAAAATACAACCAATCCCAGCACCACAACAAGAGACCAGTCCTATTCCTGTCCTCTTCAGTGAACACAAACCCCAGCCTGCTGGTCTCTTAATGGTGGGGCAGGCCTTTTGGACCCAGCCCACAACAGTAAGAATTCCACCTAGTGGGCTCTCTCAGACGCTCCTCCATCAAAGCAACTAATCACCACAATCATAAGCCCCTCAGCCTCTATATTTATAAACCACTCATGCCCCACTAGCTTATCCCCACCCTGCTATCCAAGAACCAGTCCTGGTTTATGCCCAATGGGTTAAGACACACCTTTTAGGCGCTGATCCAGATACTCGAGAATCACTCGTATGATCTGCACAATGGCTAGAATGAGGGCGCCGAAAGCCAGGGAGCCTGTGTGGTACCTGCGGGCCAAAGGAGTGGTCAGTGGTTGGGCCAGGACTCCTCCACCCAAATGCCCCAAATTACAGCCCACCTGAGTGCCCGGCCAAAGGCAGAGAAGAGCGGGAAGGCCGGCAAGTCATCTGGCTTGCGCAGGGCCCAGTAGTAGGAGGCAAAGGCCCCGGCCAGTGTGACCTGACCCAGGGCCAGCACGAAGTTGGCCAGCCAGAAGAACATGAAGGCGTTGAAGATTTGCAGGCCCAGCAGCACCCGGTGGTAGCCTGATTCACCCCCGTAGAAGGCAAACTGGCAGCGGGCGTCAGGGCACAGGCGGGATTCATTGATGGAGGGGAACGTCTGTGACAGCAGAGACGTAGAGATAAGTAAAAACACAGAGACCAGGAGTTCAGAGTGGGCTCTGAGCATCATGTCCAGAGTCAGTGGGTCATGGGGTAGAACAGAAATCATGAGATCAGAGTTAAGTGAAGAAATTGTGGGCGGAGGTCAGGATAGGGGCTTATGAAAAATGAAGGGATTCTGGAAATAAGAGCTAACCATCATGGAAGTTAAGAAAAGGGTGTGGAAACAGGAAATAAAGTCAAAGATAGGGAGATGGGTGGTTCAGCACCCACAGTGGGAGACAAGTTGGAAAGAGGAAGCTCTGGGAAGTTGCTGGACTCCAAGGGGGATGGGATCTCTTCCCCACTGTGGCCCCCACACTCAGCACAGGGTATACAACAGGTGGCCAATGTATGTTGAATGATCTCCAAGTGGGGATGAGAGATTTCAAATTATCTATAGCCTACTGGGGCAAATACATGCCCACCTGACCCTAGGGGACACTCACCTCAGGGTTGCAGGTTTTCCCAGTCAGTGGGCAGGACACATCATCAAAAATCTTATAGACTGCTTCATTGGAAGTGGACAGGAAACTGGAAGACTGTTAAGGAGCCAATGGTCTGGGATTGGGGACCCTAGGGATTAATGGGAAGGGAGCCCTGCCCCCAAGCTGGAGGTCACTTCTGGGTAAATTTGGCCTTTAGCCATCCATGGGGTCAGAGACTGACGTCTGGCAGTGGATACACAGCAGTGCTGGCCCAGTATGCAATGCAGAGGCACAACAGGAAGAAGGTAACCAGCGGGTACAGCATGGAGCACATGACATATCCCACAGCCCTAGGGAGTATATACATAGGCATCAGTCAGGGCTTGAGTCCTCAAGGGATGACCCTAGCCTGGCCCCCCAGTCTCCTGGCCCCACCTGCTGGCTTCTTTGATAAGTGCAATAGCGATGAGAATTCTCTTACGAAGAAAGATGAGCAGCAAGATGATAGTAACTTCGAGGATACTCAGAATGATCACTGAAAAGGGCAGAGGGAGAGCCATTTGTGCTCCCTGCTCCCAAAATGGGGCAGGACTGGGGGGCTGTTACTCACTGAAGGCCATCCATGTCTGCCGTAAGTGCAGGTACACCCGGAGATCTGTCTGAAAGCCAAGGTCCACCAGGGAGACATCAGAGCCAGCCTCACCTCGCAGTCGGGAATACTCCATGTAGCAGTGAAATATTCCTGCACAGGGAACCACAATCTTAGCCCACCCATGCCTCCCCTAACCTTGCAAAACAGGTACAACTGCCTCCATATAACAGAAGGAAAAACTGAGGCTGGGTAGGGTGTGGTAGCTCATGCATGTAATCCTAGCACTTTGGGAGAGGATGGAGGATTGCTTGAGGCCAAGAGTTCAAGATCAACCTAGACAATATAGCAAGACCCCCATGACTATAAAACATATTAAAAAAAAAATAGTTGAGCATGGTAGAGTAGCCTCCAGCTACACAAGCAGGCTGAGTTGGGAGGATCACTTGAGCCCAGGAGTTTAAAGCTTCAGAGAGCTATGATAGCACTGCTGCACTCCAGCGTGGGCAACACAGCAAAAACTCTCTCACCAACAACAAAGAAAAAGAAAAACAGGCTGCATTTGTGTTATTCCATGGAGCTTTATACTTGCAGTTCCTGGTACCTGTTGCCTAGCACATTCTCTCCCCACTGCTGAATGCCTCCTCATATAATGCTATCTTCTCATGAAATCTTCCAGAATTCCTCCACTTAGAACCACACCCTGCCATGCTCCAGTGCGCCATGCTCTTATCTTTCTTTCTTGTTTTGACATTAGCGGTTTTGCTGCTTAATTTCTTGCTTTCTAATTTCCTTATGCCCCTAGGAATATGTGTATAAGCTCACAGGAAAAAGAATTTGCCTTGTTTTGTTTATCGCTATAATCCTAGAGCCAAGAAAATTGCCATGAACTTAGATGGCACTCCATATATGTTTGATGACTGAATGAATGAATGGGCAGGTGTCAAAATGATGTGAGATCTGAAGTCTGCCTTGCTAGAATGATTCATAGGGATCGCCTGAGAGTTAATAAGCAGTGGAATAGCTTAGGGATTTTCAGCATTCCTCTTAACTCATAAAATAAAACTGTAAAATACAGATAAAGAAAAAAAAAAAAAAAAAATCAAGTCACCTAAAATGGAAGCATACCCACCTAAAAATTATTCCCATGAATATTTTGATTACCTATGTCCTCAGATTGGGTTGCCAAGCATTTTTCTCCCTCCTAGAAAGTATAAATGAATAATCAAGATATAAAGTGCTGGTTTTTGAGCATTGTGCCTTAGAATTCCACAGGTGTAAGCTAAATAGGCCCTTACACTGATTTTATCCTCACATTAAGCTCATCAACTGGTAAATAATAATTATCCCCCTCTTTTTTTTTTTTTTTTTT